TGTTGCCAAGTATTAAATAAAAAAATTAAAAATTAATATTCTTAAATAAAAAATTAATATATTTATTTAAAAACTAATAAATTTCATATTTTTAAATAAGAATATAAAATTAACATTTATTTGTATCTTTTCTTCTTCTTCTTCTTTTATTTAATAAGAGCTTGAATTGGTAGGAAAGACATAATGTTGCCAAGTATGTATCACATCTTAAAAAAAAGTGGAAATGTCATAAAAAAGATTAACATATTATTTTTATTCTCTTTTGTTGTAATATTAAAATGTAAAAATATGTAAATAACTCTATGAAAAAGAAAATATGAAAAGAAGTTTCCCTCCCTTAGCAAACAGTCCTTTAGAGAATCACGTTTTGTGTTTCAAATTATGTTAGATTCTAATAGTATATTTGAGTTGAGAATAATAGAAGGAAAGAGAAAAAAAAAACTTTTTATTTAATTATCAAAAAAATTAGAGGGGAGAGGATGGAAAATTTAGAAAAATGAGTATTAACCTGTATTGTAAAAAATTAGGTGAAAAAATATCTCCAAATTATATTATTTTAATAAAATTCTATTGAAAAAGACTAAAACATTTTAATTGTTTTTAAAGTAGAAATAAAAATATTTTAATTTTTTCCCGTAATATATTATTAAAACTGCATAGTTTCAAAGTGTCTTTCTGTTTAATTTTTTGTAAATCCAGTTGATAAACATTAATCTCAAAAAAAAAATTATTTTTTATTTTAATTTACTTATTTATCAAAATGAGGGAAAGTGAGAGAAGGAAAGCGAGAACCCTCCATTTCTCTCAATTTAAACATATAATAAAAGAGAATAGCTGTTTTTATTCAGTAGTTTATTTTGTATGATATGATAAAATTTAACTTGCAAAATACATTTTTTAGTATTTTTTACTATATTTGGCATTTTTTTCTTCTGTCTCAAATACTATTTTTATTAATTAAAGTAATAATTAATATTAGTAATAAAGATGGGGAAATATATTGACTCACGTATTCAACTCCTCAAAAGTTTACTTGGGGGAAAAAAGACATTATTTCTTAAGGTCAATGTGAAAGTACATGAAAATTAACTTTTATTAGTCTCTAAGAAGTAAGAACTAAATCTTAAAAGTAGCAAGAAAAAACAAATTTTCTTAAGAAAAGTTATTGTTGTGCAAATAAGTTAGGCGAAAACGATAGTATAAATTATCCTAATTAAACAACAAGACATATTCATTTCATTCTGTTAATCAAATCCTTTAATACTTATTAAGGTTTAAATACGAAGCTCCTAATTTAAAATCTTAAATTTTTAATGGTTTAGAATGTATAAATCCTCAATGTAAACATCTTTTCCCGAATCAAATTGGTGTTTTTATTTGTGGAAAAAGTAAACCTTGATTACCAAAGAACTTGTATCCTTTTCTTAATATAATCTAAGAAACATACCTTTAATATCAATAGGAGTTTAATTAAATTGATACCTACTAATTTAAAATTTTTTATTTAGAATCAAAATTAAAAATTAAAAATTTTATATTACCAAACAACTAACTCCTAATGTAAAAAGAAACTACATATATATATATATTGAGTTTGAAGCAAAAAATTTTGATTTTATTCCACCACAAAGGATCTTATTTTACCAACTTTTAACTAATATAATAGAGGTTTAGTGAATATCATTCCCTATTTTCTTTCTTTTTTTTTCCCCACTAACATGGACATGTTTGGTTAGAGAGTCACATCATTAGAAAAGTTTTTATTGGAAAATTTGTCAAGAAAGCATTATATGAAAAGTTGGAAAATATTATGTGAAAAGTTGCTTAGTTTTGTTAGAATTTTATTGAATTATTAACTTTGTTATGTTTGATAAGAAATTAACACAGGGAAAGTTATTAACTAGACCCAAATAAAAGTTATAGGGAAACTTTTTTCTTTGAAATAGTTAGGAAGAAAATTTTACAAGTTAAAAATTGTGTTATGGAAAATAAATATTCAAAATGTCACTTTACTCTCTTTTATTATAATATTAATATATAAAAATAAGTAAATAATATTATAATGAGTGAAGTTTAGAAAAATATAAGTGAAGTTTCCCCAACCAAACACCCCAAACCTAATGACCATTTAAATTCTCTTATAGAGATATATATTCAAAATTTCAAATCTCAAAATAATTGAAAATTGCAAACTCAAAGAATCAAATATTCAAAAGTATCATTCTCCAGACATGATGCGAGGAGTGATAACACTCTTTTTCATAAGTGGAAATAATGTTGAATGTATTGTGTTCGACCCACAGGTCTCCCTCCCTAATCCTTCCTAATAAAAATATATGTAATAATTGTAATGGATATTTGTCTTTGTTAAAAAAAATCAAAAATATCATTAAAGTTATTAATTCGTTTTTTAAATTTTGATTTGAAAATGAAGATAGAAGCATGACCTCAAAAAAGATGTTAACTTCAACAAGAGAGATGTTTACTTATTAATGATAAGGAGGACAAAAATTTGAAACCAATGGCATGGTGTGTTTGTCACGTTATTAAATTAATTAATATGTATAACATCACATATTTAAAAAAATAATAAGAAGAATTAATAATTAAATTATATACATTTTTTTAATATTTTCACATTATTAGTCTCAAATTTTAGTTTCAAATTTTAATATTATTTATCATTATTCTTACTAGTTACTACTCCATAATATATCATTATATTGTCAATAAATATTTTCATAAAATCGTGAGAAAATTCTTTGTTAAATGAAAATTGTAATGTAAATAATGGGTGTTATCCCAAAAAACCTCCTTGACATGTGGCAAATGAAATGGCGTGCCACTTATTTTGCTCAAAACAAGAAAGATTTTTCCGACGACCCTCTCTTCTTTCCAAGTGTGGAATTCAGTTTGTGAGTTAATGGAAGAACGTCGTAAACTGTGTCTTAAAAATCAAACGATTGGCAGAAACAATGGATGAATTTCCTACACTAAATGGGTTATATGGCAAAATGCCTTGAATATGATTCCAAGGACTCTTCCAAACTAATATAATCAAGAAAAGTTAAGACTATAAGGAAAATAGATGATCGGTGAACTACTGAGAATCTAAATGAATTTTAAATACGCAAACTATGTTGAAACATAATTTTAAAAAGAAATTTAATTGCAAAAAAAGTAAATTAAGTTAAATTAAATAAAATTGGAAACATGAAAAATTTACTAGCAGCATGAAATATAAATTAACAAAAATGGAACTGAACATAAAATTAAATATCAACATCATTTGATTAAATTAAAAGAAACTTGGAAAACAAAAAAAAAGGAAAGGAAGCAATTTGATTACAAAGAAATATTACTGAAAGCAATGAAACTCACCATTGCAAATCCAACAAAAGGAGAACTTAATTGCTAAACTAATTTAGGCTGAAGCGTATACCTAAAACTAAACTAAAGGGCTTGAAACTAAAATGAATCTGAGCATAAAGAGAAATTGTACTGAGTTTGTTGTGTGAGATGTCAATCTCCGCTTGATCTCATAATCGAGTATTTATAGCACCTTTGCAGCATGGTAGAAATCTGCGACAGCATCCAAAAAACCAATGACAACATGAAATTTAAAACAAATCAATTTATCTGTTGGTGCTGCCGATAATTCTCCTGGAAGTTCACAACGAGCGAACAGTTTTGCTGTCGTTGTGGAAATATCCACTCAACTTTACGGAGAGATTTACACCAACAACCTTCAACCAATGAAATACTTGCAGCATGGATGACATCTGGCATCATCCTATTTGTTGTAAAATTCGGTGTAAACAATAGGTGTTGGTTCTTTTTTGTTCAAAGATGAAATTATAATTTTATTATTATTATTATCATAAAAAAATATTTATCAGTTAGGTCTCAAAAAAATTAAATAAAAAAACTAAAAAACTACAATCATTTGAATAAATTATTATAAAAAACTAAAATAATATATTTTAAAACCAAATTTGATTTTGTTTTGATTCTTTCTCCTAATATTTTAATTAAACAATATAATTTTAAGATATTTATTCCCTTAGATTTTTTTAAAAATTCAACTAACAAACATCAACCTCTTATTATTATTATTATTATTATTATTTATTAGCCTCACCGGACCAGCATCAAGCACGAGAATCCGATCACAGTCAATGATTGTATTTAGTCTGTGAGCAATAACAAGCATGGTGCAGTATTTGAATTCTTCTCGAATAGTTTTCTGGATAAGAGCATCAGTCCTT